CACACACACACACACACACACACACACACACACACGCGCACACACACACACACACACACACACACACACACAAACAGCTGCCCCCCCTCCTCCCCAACGAGTAGATGCCTAAACGAGACGCCCAAGACAGAAATAGCCCAACAGCTCCTCGGATCACGGGCGCGCGCGCACACACACGCACTCAGGAAAGCCGGAGAGAGGGAACAGAATCGCCTAAACAGATCCGGCGGGATGACGAACTATCCCAAACGAGGATTGGACGATTCCGACAAAAAGAAAATGGGAGGAGGTAAACAGATGGGGATTGAGGGGGGCGCGTGACTGAAAGGCGAGACAAAGCACAACGATGTTATTCCTAGCGACTACCTTCCACCATCTGAGTCCCCCTCAATGCCATTGACCGCTGCATGAAAAAGATGGTCCATCCACCAGCTCCGACCTCGCCTTTCCCTGGCCAGACAAATCCAAAGATTGTTTAAACACTACCCCGACTCCATATCCAGTCCAGTCGGGAAAAAGTACGTCCGCGACTGCAGCGACGCACGCTCAGAGTCCCGGCCCAACCAACGACAAACGGCCAACAAACGAAGAAGCAAGCCAGCCAAGCATACATGACAAACCAAACAAATCAACACAACACAAAACACAACAAACCAATTGGCAGGGCGACTAAACTAGCGAACATGCGGGGACTGCTCCCGACCCGCATGTTCTCTAGTGAACACGGTTCTGGCTGCTACGGGGCTCCCCGTACGCCTACAATTAGGAGTAGTGGTAGGTAGGTAGTGTGAGGAGAAATTGAGAGAGCTTTTTTATCAAAAAAACTAGCGAACAGCGCCGCGATCCATCAATGCGCTTCCATGCCTGCTGCCGGCCTGCTGCCTGCCTGTCTGTTCTGTTCTGCCCTGCCTGCCCACCTGCCACGTCTGCTGCCCACGCCTCTTGAAGCAGAGAGCCTGCACCGGCCCCAACCAAGATGGGCGGTCTCACCTTGCTACCTCCCTGCCCCTAAGGACGGACATTGCTCGTGGTCCACCAGCAAGGAGCAGCACAGTGCTGGGGCCAGATCCCACACTAGCAAAGAGGATTGGATTGAACACCTGAATCTACACGTGCTCCTGGATAGGGGCAGAAAATCGAGATTGAACTGCTTTCTGCATCTCTGCTGAAGAACCACCAGTACCTTTCCCATGTGCGCGGCCCGAAAATCGAGAGTGGCCGCGATTTGGCCGCGATCGGCGGCCACCCTTCCGTTTCAGGCCAGCGCGTTACCCGTCACACCTCTGAAAAAATAGCTGGGAAAGGTACTCATGGTTTAATCCAATCCTCTCTGCTAGTGGGACCTCACCCGTGGGCGGTCAAGTTCTAACCCCAGCCCCAACGCTGGCACAGCCAAGCTGCGTCCTCAAAGGGAAAACTCCGGTATTTTCCTCGATCAGCGAGAGGGATATAATATAAGGGCGCGAGAAAAAGAGGAGGGAGACACGACGCAACTACCTGAGTGGCAGGAGACAGGGAGTGAGAGAGAGGGAGAGAGAAGGAGAGGTTGTTGGTTATAGCACGTCCGGGTGCTCGACACAGTGGCCCGATTCCTACAATTATATAAATGATACATACCCTACTAATATGGTACAACATTCATACGTACATGGTTACCAGGTCGAACGTTCGGGGGGGCCGGGGCTGACCCCCGAACGTTCGGGCATTCGAGGTCCCGTTCGGGGTCCGAACTTGAAGGGTTTCGGCCCCCGCCAGAAATTATTTCGGGACCACTAAAAAAAAAATGATTTTTTTTTTTTTTTTAGCTCTTTATGACATGCGCTACATACATGTACATTTTCAAGGCATTTTACCAAGCCAAAACAAAATGTAAAATCTTCAAAGATGGCCGTGTCAAAACGTGCTCGGCCACTTAGTTTTTTTTTTTCTTTCACTTTTCACTTTTTGTTTTGATTTTATTTTGATGCCTCAAATATTTCATTATTTCTTTAAACTTCTTTTATGAGCTTTATATTATGTGAAATCTACATCTGTAAATTTTCAGGGCATTTGGCTATCCCAAGAAAAAATGAAAAATCGTCAAAGGTGGCGGCGTCGAAAACGTGCTCCCCCACTCACTATTTTTATTTCTCTTTTCATTTTTTCTTATTTTTCTTGCTGTCAGGTCCCCAAATGAAAGGAAAAGTAAAGAAGTGAATCTACACTAAGGGATATGATAGTGGTAGATTCATCATCATGAGCAGTGGTGTGTGTGTGCAATCCGTCAGCGGTCGTGGAATGCGCTATGCCTCACTTGCAGGGCATTGAAACATGGATATGACAAGAAAAATAAAAATGAAAGAACTAAAGTTGAACCTAAAAGATAGACAAGCAATGGTCAATTGCTCTTTACACGCAAAAACAATATTCCATTAGTAAATCCAGCGTGTACACCAAGCTCGAATCATCACGCACGCGTTCCTCTACGTTTCAACCGGGTGCGCACCGGTCTCATCAGGAGATTTGTCACTAGCCCAACGCCTTACGGCCCACCAACCCACTGCCACCCTACGAGCGAGTGAGGACCTGTCTGGCCTTGCCCTCATTTACGTTATTGCCTTTCCTTGCGCGTTGTCACGCCCCCATCGTTCCAGGGGCTTGGTTCGATGTCCCTCCCCGGGCCGAGTACAGTGGGTTGGTGGATTGGCAAACTGTCACGCAGGATTTTAAAAGTTTTAGGGAAATTAGAAGTGCATTCACAAGCAACCTTTGTCACACAGTCGAGTAGTCAGGGTTATCCCTCTTGCCAGCGGCGACACGGCTTAGAGTGAGGCGTTCGGTTTTATCCTCTGCACCTGATCCCGTATAAAGGTTAGACTCAAGTTCGTCGGAGTCCCTATTATCCAGAAGTCTTTCAAGTAGCCTTGAGTATAACCTCTTATAATAAGAAGTGATAAATAACTTGTTACCTCATGCATAAATATTCCATGCATCATAGGACATGCATCATAAATCAAATGACACTGAGAGGACGAAAATACCAGAAACCGGACTCTGAAGAGCATGACCAGAGACACGAGACTGAAGAGTAGAACACGGAGAATGTAGGAAGCAGCCATAGGAGGGGCTGCAGCCACTGCTAAAACATAATAATGTCATAATACATATCAGTGACTAAGAGATAGGAGCCTCAATCAATAACGACAAGTGGTACACCCTCATGAGTGAGCTCGACTGTCTGGGACTCCGTATCTGGTACACGCTGGTCTTCCTCGTCATTGAGAACCTGAGTGGATATTACTCCGGGACCATATAGTTGATGTTAAACGATGCCGCGAGATCGATTTTGCTGATATATGCCATACATCTCGCCATCTCCTCGTCCGCTACACTCCAGAGATACAACTCTTCGACGAGGGAAATGTTGTCAGTGGCACCAATCAAGATCTCAACCTGTCCCTTGTCGTAGATGTAATCATAAGAAACCTCCAGTAAACAGCCTCCATAGAGTGGCTTCTGAAAAACCTGTATAACGAAATATGCTCCCACCAAATGACTGTAGTCATCCCCAAGATATGAGACTGGTCCCTTCCCCCTTGAAGGGTCGGCTACCTCCTCTGACTTGGGTCCTCCTGACATGTAATGCCTGGATCAATCA